CAAAAACTTTGTAGTTTGATGTAGTCCCATTTGTTTATTTTTTCTTTTGTTTCTCTTGCCTGAGGAGATATATCCCAACACTTTTTATCCTCTATCTTTTTTATTATTGCACCCTAGTGGTTATAAAGTGGTATCTCATTGGGGGGTTAATATGCATTTCCTTGATGGCTAGTGGTGCTGAACTTCTTTTCATGTACTTATTGGCCTTTAATATGCTTTGGAGAAATGTCCGTTAAGAGCCTTTGACCGTTTTTAAATGGGTTATTTTTGTTATCATTGAGTGGTAGGAGTTCTTTATGTATTTTGGATATTAGACCTTTATCAAATATATAATTTGCAAATATTTTTTCCCATTCATTGGGTTGTCTTAAGTTTCTTGATAGTGTCCTTTGTAGCACACAAGTTTTAAAATTTGATGAAGTCCAGTTTACTTTTCTTTGGTTGCTTGTGCTTGGTGTTGTGTCTAAGAAAGTATTGCCTCATTCAAGGTCATGACAGGTTATGTCTGTTTTTCTCTAAGAGTTTAGTAGCTTTAGCTCTTACATTGAGGTTTTTAATCCATTTTGAGTTAATTTCTAAATTTAATATGATGTGAATTAGGGGTCCAGCTTCATCCTTTTGCTTGTGAATATCTGGTTGTCCCCATGCCATTTGTTGAAAAAGACTGGCCTTTTTTAAAATTTATTTGTCAATTATAGTTTACATTCAGTATTATTTTATACTAGTTTCAGGTGTACAGCATAGTGGCCAGACAATCATATGCTTGACAAAGTGTCCCCTATGACATTTCTAGTACCCACCTGGCACCATACATAGTTACTACAATATTATTGACTGTAGTTCCTATGCTGCACTTTATGTCCCAAGACTGGATGACTTTTAAGGCTCCTTCTGACTCAAGGCTCTGTGATGCTTTGTAGAACATTGGTTTCTGTTACTGTCTAAACAGGTAGGTAGACAGGGTTTCTTGTGATGGCCGCCCTTTTCTCAAGAATACACTGTGTCTAAAACAGGATTGCTACCAGTCTTTTATCAGATTCTTCTAGACTTCTCAGTTGCTTTCAAGTCTATCCTCCTCTGACTTTTCTGATATTGGTTTGTTTCTGGCCCTCTTTGACCAGCTCAGTTTTCTTTTCTTCTGCTTTTTACACATAAATGCTCATATCCTTCCAACCTTCTTGTTATGGGAACAGTTCACTCACTTTATTTTAATTAGCTTTGTCCTTTAGATAGCCTAGAGTTTCTTCTCAAGCCCAACTATAGTCTAATAACAATTTCTTCTGAGTGTGCCACCAACCCTGGAATTTAACATGTGAAAAATGTGGACTTAGTCTTCCCTTGATTGTAAGCCCTCCCAGTTTCTTCATTGTCTTCTCTATGTATCTTAAACTCCTGACTTTGGAGTATTCTTACCCCCTCCCCAATAGCTCTGCATTCTGTTCAGTATTAAATGCTGCTGATCGTTACTGACATGGTAGGGGCCCTTGGACCTATTCTTTCCTCTTTATAGCTGTAGCCAGCACCTATAGCTATAGGCCCTTGCATCTCAGAGCTAAATTACTGCCTTCTTGCTGTTTTCCCAGACCCTAATTTCTCTCTGTTAGGCCCTATACTCAGCTGCTAGATTAATCCCCCTCAAACAACTTTCTCATTAAGTCATTTCCCCTATCCTAGATCCACACTATCAAATTTATACACCAAATACACAGGTGAGCATTTACACACCCCACCTCCACCTCCCTCTGCTTATCTGGTTACTTCTCTGAATGGAGCCAGACTAATTGGTACTTAGCCTGACTTATTCTTTGTTTTATCTCACTGTTCTTGTGGCTTCCTCGTGGTGCACATTCTTCTTTCTCTTGGGTGCCTTCTCTGCTTTTCTGAGTCTCATTCCCTGCAATGATGATCCCATTTGACTCCTCTTATTTTTTCTTCTTGCATTTTTCCAGTGCCCTGCCCTTTTTTTGTTGTTTTGGATATGCTCCTTTGTAAAAGCACTGTTCCATGTGGCAGCTAGTGTTGCTCTTTTGTTTATGGCTTTCCACCTTTCCTACTGATAGCACAGAGCCCTGCATATAGTAACTGTCCAGTAACTCTTCCTGGCTGACAGATCTGTAAAAGTTTTGAGGGGACATGCGTACTGTTTAGCACCATCATCACTTTTTAATTTTAGAAATGCAAAATAATGCTTTTTGTGCCATCACCTGGTTTTAAAATTTTTTTGTTTTTTATTTTATGCCAGGTCTTAAAAGAGTATTCTCAGTGCAGTAAAATGAAATGCAACATATTACTACAAATATTAAATCTAGTTTATTGTACACTAGCCACTTTATGTATCTAATTCTAGCTGCTTAGCTGTTGGCATTTTTTTGAAGGGGCATTATAGCCTTGAGCCAGCACTAACCAGTTAATATAGTAATATCCTTAATTCCACAGCAGCATAGTCACCAGCACCCAGAAAAGGACTGGCAACCTGGTTTCTTTCTTCTGCTGTGTGAAGCTGTGTTTCTGTTGCTGATCTTTTTCAGAGAAGCATTTTCCCCATGATTTCCTTATCATAAAGTCACTTTCAGGAAAAGAGAAGTGGAGCTTGGCTGAGGAAGGATTCGAGGCAGGTGGCAGCTGCAGGTCTAGCTGTCTTACCTCCCTCCCTACCCACCAGCCTTCTCTCACCTCAGGAGCAGTTCATAGCACCTTATTAACAGCATCAGTGCAAGTTTCCTTTTTTTATTGTTTTCTTTTTAACCCTTTATCTTCAATCCTCATGCCCATTATCTTCCCCATTCATATGCACACCCACTCTAATGTATTTGTTTTATGTCTTTACACCTCTGTTTTATGTCTTTACACCTCTAAATATTTGCTTGAAAAGACATAGTATAATTGTGGTATGTCTTCAGCTTGCATGATGGTATTTGCTTATTTTTTTTACTCAAATGCTGTGCTTTTTAAGATGCACTCATGTTGCTGTAGATACATCTAAAGTGTGATTTCTAAAAACTGCATAGAATTTTATATTTGGATCCACTCCATATTGATATTTCATTCTTCCAGTTATAGAAAGCAAAGTTTCTTCAAGCCTTCTGCTACATCATCATCAACAGCAAACATTCTCACACACATCTGTAAAATCTATAATTCATATCAGGATATAGACAGCTTTATTTGAGCATTTCTCTGTAATTTATGCACCAGAGTAGGGTCACTAGATCATAGGGCATAGACATACTTACTGTCACTAAGTGTAGCCAGATCACTTAGTAGAATGGCTGTGTTGGTTTACACTCACCGCACAGTGCGTGAGTTTTTGCCTCCCCACATCTTTGCCAGTACTTCTATCATCCACCATTCTAAAATTGTCCCTTCTGATTAGGCATTAAGGGCTATCTCATTTATATTCTACTATAATATATTTATACTATAATTTATATTTTACTTATTGGTTTTACTTTGATCATCTCTTTATATAATTTTTACACTTTTTTTCAATCATTTAAGCTTTTCTTTCTGAGTTCCCTACTCATATCTTTTAACCATTTTTCTATTGGGTTTCCTGTGATGTTCATATTTAATTGTAGGAATTTCTTGTGTATTTTAGGTATTTTAATTCCTTGTCAATTTTAAATGTTGCAGAAGGTTTTCGTTGTCATCTGTCTTAACTCTGTTCATGGTACTCTTTATTCTACAGAAATCTATAATTTTGTTGAATGTACAGTTTTTCACTGTACAGTTTGTCTTTTTAGAGTCTGATTTATGAAGTCTTTCTGCTCTCTAGTATTCTCTGCTCTATAATTCTAGCTCCCTGCAGTTTTTCCACACAAGCCTGTTTACATGGCCTTTTGAAGAAATGTCTTCCCTTTCTTTCTCACCTCTGGCTCTCAGTAGGTTTGCCAGCTGGTGGTAATGTTTGGCTGCTTCTGATGGAGGAAAAATGCAAGAAAATGGATACACCCTCTTTCTGTAAGCCCTGCTCTCACTCACAGGGAGGGACTCCTGTGACTGTGTTTGTACTACATGAATCCTGTCTGCTCAGCTGATTGGAATGGTATGCATACCTACACTAGGCGGTTATTCAAAATCTCCCTCCAGGAATTTGGAATTGAGACCAGTCTCTGCTGGCCTTTTGAAGGACATACAAATAAGGGGTTTTGGGATAACCATCTTCTTCCATGTTCCCAAAGAAGTTAAAGAAATGGTTTGCAGAGGAAGGAGAATGAAGATATGCACAGAGAAACAGAAAGAAAGAAAAAAAAGCCTTGTAGCCCCATAGAGAGGGAGAAGGATGAGATAGAAGGTGAGAGTAGCTGTCCTGGATCCTGGTGGCCTTCCAGTTTTAGTTCTGTTCTCTTCAGAGACCAGATTGCATCTCCTTATCTGTATTAGTTAGGGGTGGCTAACTGCTGTAACAGGCTCCAAAGGGTACTGTGGCCCTAACGCAATGGAAGTTTATTTTTCCCCACATAGGCAGGTCCAGAAGGTTCTACGTTGGTGGGGTGGCAACAATGGAAGGCTCTGTGCCACACTTATTCAGGACCCCAGGTTGATGGAGGCTCTGCCATTCTGATCATCACATGACTTGCAAGGTCTTCCTAGGTGCTAGGTCTCCCTAGGTGCAAGGTCTCCCTAGGTGCTAGCATCCAGCTTACAGAAGAGAAATGAACATGGAGTTGAATACGTGGGAAGTTCTGTACGCCAGACCTTGAACTAGCACATATCCCTCACATTCCTTTGACCAGAACTCGGTCACATGGCCACATTTAACTGAAAAAATGTCTAGCTGTGGACCCAAAAGGCAGAGAATAAATGGGTGTGGTGAACAGCTAGAGACTGCCACATCATATTATCAGTGTGGTGCCTCTATATCCTTATAATCAAGTTTCTGTTTTTTCTTAAACTTGTTTGAGTTCACTTCTGTTATTTGTACCTCAATGCATTAGGTGTTCTCATAACAGCTATATTTAACATAGAAGAAATAAAGACTGGTTAATTTATTTTCTCAGGAAAATTGGGCCAATTTCCACCTATGATGCATCATCACCAAGCACCCTTAGATGGCCAGACCCCTGCAGCTCGCAGCCAGAGGTCTCACCTTGCAGAGGCCTTTGCAAAGGCCAAAGGAGCAGGTGGAGGCGCTGGAGGAGGAGGAGGTAGTGGAAGAGGCCTGATGGGGCAGATTATTCCAATCTATGGTTTTGGGATTTTTCTATACATACTGTACATTCTATTTAAGGTAAGTGGAATCATCTTGATCATATTATGTCAGTGACAATCTAATATTTATCGTAATAAAAATCATTGTCAGCATAAAACCCTTTACAGTTCATAACCCTTTTTTCAAATCGAGAATCTCTTTAAACCTTGCCTCCTCTTAGTAAGGTACTTAGGAGTTATCTCAGTTTTACAGATGAGAAAATCTTCACTCGGAGCTTAAATGATTTTCTCCAGAATTCATAACTGAAACTGCAGAACCAGGACTTGAACCTGGATCTGCTAGTTGCTAATCCATTAGCAATAAAGTTCAAAGCCCCCCAATTCTTTTCAGCTGGGCATATCTGCAAGCTGAAAAGGCGCGTCTGTGAGGCCAGAGGATGCCTGTACCGGCCTCACTTTGTCCTTCTTGCCCAGGAGTGTGAGGTGCTGTTTTTGTGTGTTTTTCTTAAATATGTCTTTATTGATTTCAGAGGGAGGGAGGGAGGGAGGGAGAGAGAGAGAGAGAAAGGGAGAAAGAGAAAGAGAAAGAGAAACATCAATGATGAGAGAGTCATTGATCAGCTGCCTCCTGCACACCCCCTACTGGGGATCGAGCCTGCAACCCGGCCATGTGCCCTGAACGAGAATATGAATTGGGATCTCCTGGATCCTAGGTGGATGCTCAGCTGCTGAGCCACACCTGGCCTGACTGCTGTTTTTTAACATCATCTCCAGTAATTCTTCTGAACTGCCACATCCTGAAACTAAGCCTGATATTTCTTAGCTCTGGGAAGACATGGTTTGGGTCCTTTACAAGTAGACTGCTAATTAAGTTAGCAGTCTACTTGTGACCAGGCCAACTTTGGCAGGCCATGGGCCTAGCTAGGCACTGTGAAGTAGAGGGAGGAGTGTCACTTGGCCTTTCTAACTAGAGTAAGAGGTGAGCTTCTCCCAGCCCAGAAATTCTGCAGGCAGCCTGAGTTGAATCTTAGATGAGCATGGCATCTATAGATGATCTATAGAGAGATTGCTTCCCTTGTTCCTCACTAATTTTTTACTTGGAAACCTTCTATTGGCTTTTTATTTTATTTTTATTTTTTGAGATGTTTCTATAATGTTGCACTTCAATTGGATTTCTGATTTAATTTTTGTCTCCCAACCTTCTCTTTTTCTTTTTTCATTTAATATGAGGGGTTCCATGACTTTGAGATTCTGAGCTGCTGTTGACGTGCTGTACCTCCTTCAATTCTCAGCTTTCAAAGGGGAAAACTACTGCAGAGGACCGGAAATGCTCTACCACCACATCTGGAAACACCTACAGGAAAATTAGTAAGTGCCCCTTTCAGAATGGTCACACTTTTGACTGAGTCAGACAACTGTAATGCAGCCAGAGAGGCAATCTAGATGTGTCCTAAAAGCATTTCTCAAAAGTTGCCCCAAATTCATCTGATGCCATTTTTACCTTAGCTCTGGGAGTTCCCAAAAGTTTCCATATTGATGTTGGCTTTTAAGGGAAACATAGTTACAAAGAGCACAAAACCCGCCAGCTCACTTTTTTATGTGTTAGCAAATTAATATTTCACATTTGGAATGATTTCCTTATCATTTCCAGACTTCAGAATATTGGTAGCAAATGCCTTTATTTCACAGAGGAAAAGTGAAGCAGAGAGATCAGGTCATTGCCAAAGCCAGTTATTAGATTCAGGGACCGAGTTTACATTTCTGGCTCTTGAAACATGATCATCAAATGTTTACTAACCAACAAGAATATTCTGTGCTCTCTGGGGAAATGAAATGTATATGGCATAGCTCTTCCCTCTAAGAATTTATAGTCTAGGATGGATGTCAGGAAAAATAACTTGTGAAAAGTTTACTACCTAGAAAGAAGGGATTTGACAAAAACCTCATGGGAAATCATGTCTAGCTGGGTGTCTGCAGGAGGACCTGTCAGCTAGATTGGATAGCGCAAGTGAGATACAGCCTGGCACAGAGCAGCTGTGGGGAAAAATAAAAAGAAGGCCTGAAGAGTAGGGAGGTTAAGCCATGTTATTGGAGGCCTTAGAGGCCAAGTTGCTTTATCCTGTGGATAACATTACGAAGCCTCATCAGAGGTTTTTAAGACAGACATCAGCCAAATGAAGTGAAGCTGGACCACAGAGGCATCTGCCCTTGGCTATCACTGCTTTTTTGTATTTACTCTAGATTCTCTATGGAAATAGATATTTTAGTCACACACTGCGTCTTTTTTAGAAATCTTAACTATTCAGGGAATTCTTTAAGAAAGCTGCTGTGTTCTTAATTGAGATAATATCTAACAGTGATGGTAAATGCATCAGTAAAATAAATTTTTAAAAGATTTGTGGACTCTTTAAAGACTAGCAAATTCTATATCCTTTCACATAGTGCATTTAAAACAGAAAGAATAAAATGAATTCCTAAGAGCCGCTGTTTTATAATGTAGTTGCAGTTATATCAGCTCCTTATCCTTCAATTTTTGAATCATGCAGAAAATAAAAATAACTTAAGCATTTATGTGGCACAGTCCTCCAGACACTTTATAGATATTAACTGCATGAATAAGAACTTGTTCCAGAAGTACTAAAAGGCCTTTGAAATACTATATTTATAGTAACCCATTAAATACATCTGGGTAGAGAATGGTACTGGGTGTGAAACAGAAAAACTAGGTTATCTACATAATGGACAACAGTTTATTTTACTACTGCCTTAAAATTCACTTCATGTACTGATTGAATGACTTACTTTTTCTGTTCTACTTTTAAGATCTTAATGTTAGTTTCAAAAGATAGATATGCTCTCTATGGACCCTTGTTGAGAAAATTACCTCTGGGAGGCAGGGTTATACCATTTTACTCCACATGATTGGGGAAGACAGTCTTGGCCAGGGAGATCTCAAGAATTCCTCTATTGAAGAAGCATGACATTTAAACTTACCTTCCAGATATCTTTTTAACCTTAGGTGCAGGTAAAATATTGCTTATTTTATTTAGTTTTCCGAAGCACCTTATAGGTTTGGTACTTTACCCTTGAGCATCATTTGAATTAGAATAGCCAAGTATGAAAGCAACCTAAGTGTCCATGGATAGATGAATGGAGCAGGAAGATGTGGGACATATATACAATGGAATATTATTCAACCGTAAAAAAGAATGAAATCTTGCCATTTGAGACAACATGGATGGACCTAGAGGGTGTTATGCTAAGTGAAATAAGTCAGACAGAGCAAGACAGATACTGTATGATTTCATTTACATGTGGAGTCTAAAAAACAAAACAAATGAACAAACAATACAAAACAGAAACTGTTTCATAGACATAGAGAACAAACTGATGATTTCCAGAGGGGGTGGGAGGTGGGGGGAAAAGGCAAAAAAGGTGAAGGCGAGTAAGAGGTACAAAATTCTGGTTATAAAATAAAAAAGTCACAGGGATGTAATGTACAGCATAAGGAATATAGTCAATATAATAACCTTATATGATGACAGGTAATCACTTCGTTAGGTATATTAATGTACACTTGAAACTAATATAATACTGTACATTAACTAAATTTTAATAAAAAAGAAAATGGGGAAAAAGGATATGTTTATCTTCATTTCTTCTTGGGTGACTATAGGGGTATGTTTTTCAGTCCTAGATATTTTCTTAGCTCATCCTGCTGTATTTCTGTGTGTAAGAGAGTAATTTGTTCATCACTCTCTAAACATGTACCCTTTGTATCCTGATTGGATTATCTGGGGAAACTCTTAGTCTCTTCTCTGAGCCTCAGGACCAGCCTGGATTACTGTGGAGTATTGCAGCCAGCTATGTCTCAGAAAAGAGCTTAGGGAGTTGTGTGTGATGGTTCTTAGATCAGTGCTTGTTTTTCAGCCAATTTTGAGCTTGTTCAACTGCAAGAAAAACTGAAGGAGACAGAAGAAGCCATGGAAAAATTAATCAATAGAGTGGGACCTAATGGTGAAAGGTAGGTTTTCAGGACTCAGACTATTTCCCATTTAGAGAATAAATTCAAAATTTTGCTGTCCTTTGATTTCTAGGTTGCTTACTTTCATTTTATGTACTTCTCAACTTATTTGTGATTGTAGGGATGGCCTAGTGGCACATTTTCTCCTAGTTGAGGCTAGTGGCCCAGCACATTTTCTTTTGATGACCTTGCTTCAGACAAAGGTGGCTTGCAGTAAATGGAGTAATATTAAGTAACAGTGAAATTGCTAGGAGAATTAGAGAATCAAAGCTGAGACATCTGGGGTTTGCTCCCAGTATTGATATAACTCACTGTGGGACCTTGGGCAATCACTTGATCTGTTCTGGGCCTTAGTTTTCCCATATATAAAAGCAGAACGTTGAACTAACATGTCTAGTTGCCAACTATGCTGTTCTAGGGTCAATTCATAGAATAATTATCTGCTGCTGTTGAACTTCCTGTTCTAGGATCCAGACAGATCATAGTGATGTTAATTTATGTTCATTGCCAAGGAGTACTTACCACTAAATAGCTGGATTGCCTGATATTTCTAAGCAGAGCACAGACTGTGACTTCTGACCAAGAAAAACGGTTGCTGCATCAGCTCCGAGAAATCACCAGGGTCATGAAAAAAGGAAGATTCACTGACAGACCCACTCCCGAGAAAGAGGCTGAGGAGGCCCCTTACATGGAGGACTGGGAAGGTAAACAGTGTCTTCTCATTTTTTGATAGCTGTCAGCCCAGAAAAGAGATCTTATAAATTTTTTAAAAATCAGCTTTATTACTGAAGTATAATGTATATACAATAAAATTCACCAATTTTAAGTGTATGGTTGGATGAGTTTTGACAGGTGTGTAGAGTTGTTTAATTAGACAATCATGATATGGAACATTTCCATCATCTCAGAACATTCCCTCCTTTGCAGCTAGTTCCCTCCTTCTGCTGGTGGGAACAACTGAACTGCTTTCTGTCTCTGTAGTCTTACCTTTTCTATATAAATGGATCGTACTGCATGTGTTTTTTTATTTCTGGCTTCTTTGATTTAGCATAATGCTTTTGAGTTTCGCATTCTGAGTATATAAGTACTTTCTTTTTTTCACTGCTGAATCATATTTTGTTGTATAGATATACCATAATTTGTCTCTCCATTTGCTAGTTTAGGAACATTTGGGTTGTTTCCAGCTCTGAGCTGTCATGAATCAAGCTGCAATGAACTTTTGCGTATATGTCTTTGTATATATATTTGTATTCCTTTGGGGTATATACCTATGAATGAGATTTCTGGGTTTTCTGGGGCGTGTATGTTCACCTTTATTAGTCAACTGGCTTTCCAGAGTGGCTCTGCCATTTTGCCTTCCCACCAGTAACCTAGGAGAATTGTAGTTACAACATCGTTGGTAACATTTGGTATTGCTAGTGTTTTAAACTTTAGCCATTCTAGTGAATGGATAGTAGTATCCCAGTTGTTACTTTAATTTGCATTTCCCCAGTGACCAATAATGTTGAACATTTTTTTATGTGCTTGCCATATATTTTCTTCTTCCTTCTTAAAATTATGAGACTTATTTAATATAACAGCTTCTTAACAGTCTTGCCTGCTGATCTTATCATCTGTGTCATTTCTTGGTGTGTTTCTAGTACTTATTTTTTTCCCTTGTTATGAGCCCTAATTTCCTGCCCTTTTTGCATGCCTAGTAAGTTTTGATTGGATGATGGGTATTGAAAATTTTACACTGTTGGATGCTGGATTTTGTTCTAGTGCTTTAGATAGTGTTGGAATTCTTTCTGGCACACAGTTAAATTACCAGAAATCAGTTGGTTCCCTTCAAGGCTTGTTGTTAAGATTTGTTAGGGTGGATCCAGAGCAGCTTTTAGTCTGTGGCTAATTCAGTGCCCCTAGTAAGGCTGTATCCTTCTCAGGACTCTACCTAGTTAATGCTCCACAAAGTATTTCTACTCTGGCTGATAGGAATGTGAACTCCCCCCAGCCATATGTGAGCTCCAGGAATTTTTAGGCCTAATGTTCTCAGTAGTTCTTTTCTTGGCCTTGGGAAGTTCTTTCCCATATATGCGCAGGTCAGAACTCAACTAAAAACATGAAGCATTCCCTCTGAAGCTTTCTGGAGCTCTTTCTCTATGAAACTCCTTTCTTCCCAGTATTCTTCGCTATAAATTCTAGCTGCCCTGGCCTCCCTGAACTCTAATCTGTTTTGCCAACTCAGTGAGACCACTGGACTCTGTTTCCCTTTTCTCAGGGATCACACTACACCACCTGTTACACAGTGTTTGAAAGCTGGTGCTTCATATGTTCTGTTTGGTTTTCTGGTTGTTTAGTGGGAGGAGTCCCCATACTTCCATTATTTCCAGAGCAGAGGTAAGAACCTACATATTTAACAGCAAGTGATTCCAGATATAATAAATAGTTAAGGATGAAGAGAGGAACCTTAAAAACTAGAAAAAATAGTTGCAGATATGTATTGGGTCTTTAGCAGCAAAGAGCTTTTTGAGAATAAAAGCAATGCAAGATCCATTAATAGTAAAAACTCTCAGAAATAGGAATAGAGGGGAATTTCCTCAACTTGATAAAGAGAAGCTATAAAAACCTACAGCTAACATCTCACTTAATGATGAAGGATGAATGCTTTCCCCCTAAGGTGGGGAATAGGCAAGGATGACTTATTCAGCATAGTGCTAAAAGTTCTAAGTGCTGTAAGGCAAGTAAAAGGGAAAAAAGGCACACAGATTAAAAAGGAAGAAAGAAAACTGCCCCTGTATGCAGATTCCATGATTGACTATGTAGAAAACCCTGAGGAATCTACTATAAAGTCCTAGAACTTACAAGATAGTCCAGCAAGGTTAAAGGATACAAGAAAAACATACAAAAATCTATTGTATTTCTGTATATTGGCAATGAATATGTTGACATAAAAATTAACAATTTGGCATCAAAATTAATTTTGAATCATTAGAAAAGAGAAAGACTTAGGTGTAAATAAAACATGTACAGGACTTGTCGGCTGAAAACTGTACAACATTGATGAAAGAAATCAGAGAAGGTCTAAATGGGGAAACATACCATGTTCATAGATTGGAAGATTCGAGTTAGTGCAAATGTCCATTCATCCCAAATTGACAAACAGGTCCAACACTTTCCCTATCAAGACCTTGGCAAGCCTTTTTGTAGATACAAGAGTGTTCTAAAATGTATATGGAGGGGCAGAGGAAATGGAGTAAACTATTTTGAAAAGAAAAAATGGGAGGAATTGGTACACCTGATTCCTAGACTTATTATATAGCTTCAGTGGTTAAGACCATGAGGTATTGGTATAGGAATAGACACATAGAACCCAGGGATAGACCCACTCAAATATGCACAACTGATATTTTACAAAGGTGCCAAAGCAGTTTATTGGTGCTGGAGCAATTGGTTATCCATAGCAAAAAAAGAAATAAACCTCAACCTAACTTCTTCATGTTATACAGAAATGAACAGATAATGTGGACATAAATGCAAATTGTGAAGCTGTAATCCTTATAGAAAAAAAAAATCCTTTAAATGATGAAAAGACAAACTACACAGTGAGAGAAAATACTTTGCAAATCGTATGTCCAACAAAGGATCTAGCATGGACAAAGAGTTCTTAGACTTGAATCAGAAACACAATTCATAAAAGGAAAAATAGACAAATTGGGCTTATCAAAATTAAAAGCTTCTGCTTTATGAAAGAAGATACTCTATACAAGAAGGTGGCAAACAATGATCAGTAAGCATTATCAAGGTAAAATAACTAGTGATAATGTGGTTAGAAATGCAATGCCATTGTTAAATACTTAAATCAGAAAAGACTAATATCTTTAAAAGTTAGTATCACTTGTAGCTAAAATTTCACAACACCTAAGAAGTAGGTAGAAAATAAAGTGATAAGGGTTTTTCCTTATTTGGGAACAGGGTTATATAATTAACATTTGCAATTTGGAGGAAAAAGGAATTCCAGTGTTCATTTCCTTGACTACTGGTGAGATTGAAATACTTTCTCATATATTTTGTAGCCAGTTGCATATGTCTGAGTATGTATGACTGTAGATTTTTTTTCATAGTATTTTTACCTAGCATTTAGTGCATCTTTCCCATCTGAAGAATTGAGTCTTTCTTCAGCTAAAGGATATTTTCTTTTATAATTTCTTTGGTTGTTGCTTCGACTTAACCTAATCTGCCCTCTCATTCTAGAATTCCAATAATTCTGAGATTGGATATCCTAGGGCAGTCTTCCATGCAGCTTATCTTTTTTTTCTCATAATTTCTATTTCTTTGTCATTTTTATCTTTGTCCTTGGACTTCTAATATACTAATTTGGTTTTTAGCCACATCCATTTCAGTCTGCTGTTTTCCTCCTGTATTAAGTTGAAATGTTTTTTATAATTATGACTTTCTATTTCTAATAGCTCTGATTTCCTTTTTGCTCCCTTTTTTATAGTGAAGGCTAGTTGGTTTTATTGGTACATTATCCTTCTGAATAGTACTGGGAATATAGTTTAAAGTTGACAGACATTAACTCATGTTTCCTGCATTGACTGTTTTTAAGGGGCTCTTTACGTAGTTTGCTTAGTTTGGTTCCCCTATTTTGAACTGCTGATTTCCTCCTAGAACCAGCACTTTTTTGTTGCTTGCTCATATTTTTAATGAAGTTCTTGAGTAACCAGTAATGTTGGGTGATACAGGCTACCTCAGCAGTTGTGTGAGTCACTGTTCGATTTTCTTCAGGCCTCCCCCTCTTAAACCAAAGCAGATAGCCATGGAAGTCCAAGGTAAGCTTTGCTCTTGGTGTGGGAGGACAGGAACATGCCACAAAATTGACTTCTCTTAAGGACTCATGGTTAGGAGTTGAGTAGCAAGTAAGTTTCCCCAGCCCCTGCCGGTGACCAAGGAGGTGCTGAGGGCCTGGGGTGGCTGAGCTCCACTGTACCCAGCATTCCATCCAGTCAGTTAGGCCTGGACGGTAGATCCTGTCGGGGATGATGAGGGTGTGATAAGATGGACAGGTTCACCGACAGGATCTATGTCACCGGTAGAACTAAAACTTTATACCATTCTTCTGGAAAGCAGTTTGGCAGAATGTAAAAGGCGGCTTTTAAAATGTCCATTCCCTTTGGTCTAGTTTTCATATGTCTAGAAGTGTATCTTAAAGAAATAGGGAAGTAGACATGGATTTATATTCAGAGATCTTAACTGCTATGGTACTTATAACAAGGGAAAATTGGAAAGAATCTAAATGTCTCACGGAAGACAGTTATGCAGCTGTGTGATGGAATATTTTGCAGCCAACTTTAAAGTGCCTGATGACGTGGAGAAATGCTTATGATGTAATGTTGAAAAAAAATCAGGGTATAGTATTTTACATACAGTATGATCCTTTGTTAAAAAAAATCCTTATATATGATAAAAAGCCAGAAATAATACAAGTTGTTGT